TATCATATAAATCTGCCCTAAAAACGAAAAATTTGCATTACTTTTATAATATTGAAGTGAATGCTTTGATACACAGTGGCTTTAGCCTCTGCATATCCTCTTATGTTTTTCTCTGAATACCTGGGAGCCGAGCAAACTGGTAACCACCCATATTCTCTCGTTCTCTTTAAAATAGGATTGTTGATCAATTTTTGCTGAGTTGGCTACCATGGCTCAAGATGGAGGACCACGTGGTGAGATAAACTAATTTCTTCTCTGCCATCCTGAGAGGGTTTCTCATACTTTCAGAATAGAACAGAATTTTGGCTAACCTAACAACTCAACAGGAAATCGTCCCTTTTAAATTGAATGTTCTAAGGGAGTTCTTGAAGTTGCTTTGAGGTTTATCGCCTATCATGAAATAAAACCAGTGAACAAGGCTGTTATGAATTACACACAACTTCAGATGAGGGTGTCTGGCATAGTGAAGTACTGGCGCATTTCATCCCTGAGAAGCAATCAAACTACTGTTTTCTCACTTATAACATTACTTAAGAATTAATAATCAGTGACTTAGATGTCAGGCATATCAAAGAATATTGGCACAGAAAGAGGTACTCTCTTTAATGGTTCATGTGCACATTCTAGGGTTAACGTTATTTTATTACACGACTCGGGCAGTCAGAGGGCCAATAACTAAAATCAACCAATCAAAATGCTCTATTGCCGGTCAATATTCTCTCAGTATTGGACCGGGCACTGTCCCGAATGGTCCCGAATGATACCGCACTTGTGTCCCTTTGAATTTCAGTCGTATAATAAATCTCTTATTAACCAAGCTTGCTCGGGACCGTACTGGAAGAATATCGGCCCTCGGTCTTTTTTGTACGGACCGAGCGCAGCTCGGTCCGTACTGTCAAGACCTCGGGCCGATATTCTCCCAGTACGGCCCTCGCGCTTGGTTAATAAGATATTTTTTTGACTTTTAACCTTCAGTTATTCGTGATATTCACTCTTCATTCCGTGACCTTCCATACTTTGGGCAAAATCTGTATGTAGATGACCATGTATTCCCACATTTTGTCATGTATTGATACATACATTAAGGATTTCACCAAGTACCTACCTTTAATTCCCGCCCGCCTCGACTAGCTCCTGCTATTTGCGGGCGTGAACGGTCTTCATGAACATGAAAGTTTGCTTGACAACCGATTAATGATGATATCTTGTAAAACGTGTAGATTAGATTAATAAGAATTAGATTAATAATAATAATTAAGTAGATGTCACTGCAACTTATGAAATTTAAAGGTCTAATAAAGTTTCTCTTTCTTTCTTTCTTTCTGTACCGAGAAAAAAAAAAAAAAAAAAATGTCAGGCCAATAGTAGTCGAGGCTCTTAATCGTTGATGGAAGATGTAGCGTTTGCAAATTTTCAGCTACATCGCTGTTTGGGCATCTTGAAAAATCCAGCGTAGAGTATATGACTGATGAGAAAGTTCTTCTCGTTTAACCCTAAATGTTTCAAAATCGATTTCCTTTTCTCTCTGCCATACATCCGTCACAACCTACGGTGGGCTTTGACAGCTTGCATCAACATCTTAACCCTTAAACTCCTATAAGTGATTAACATGTAACTTCTCCCCTTCAATACCCACACATTATCCAGCAAACAGGTAATGAGAATATTCAAACTTATCAGGAAGAAGTTGTTACCTAGATCTAACCAAATTCCAAAAATAATTGCTAAGGTGAAATTACTAATTGGTGTCTGTACAAGGAGTGAAAGGATGAGAAGTGTTAAGGCAATTTGTAAAAAAAAAATCTTTTTTCATGCACCAGTTGAAACTACTTCTTTTCCTTTTACTTAGGTTTTCTATTTTATTTTTTTTTCGTTAAATATTAGTTTTAAGGTCGAAAATCTTTGATTCTCGATGATTTATCACTTAAAAACAGACAAAAGGGTGACATATAGGGAAACAAACAATAATAAAATCATAAAGGCAAAGATGGCCAGGAAACTTACTTCCTGTAAAACTGAACTAAGATAAAAAAAATTACAATAATTCAAAACAAGAAATTTCTCAATCAGAAGGAAAAACTCACTTCAATTGAAAAGCTCCTTCCTACCACTCTTCATAAGGTCTCAGTGTACTTAACCCCCTCCACCCTAACATCAGTATGCATATTCTCCATACTGTTCTCTATGCATTTTTGTAAGGTGCTGACAAGGAGAATTTGGTTATCAATCAAGAGCGTCTTTAGTTTAACCACCTCCCGGTTAGCTCAATGGATAGAGCGCTGGACTATTGTGCAGGAGGTCAAGGGTTCAACCTCCGGCCAGACCAACACTCAAGGTTTTAAAATAATTGAGAAGAATATGCTACCTTTCTACAACATCAAGAAATGGTTAGATATTCTAGTCTTCTCAGATAGGGACGAATAAATGGAGGTCCCGTCTCCTGCAGGGTTAGGGGTAGGAGACGTCAATTTCCCACGGACGAGATTACTGTGTGATGGATGTCCTCCCCTGGGGTGGGGATGGGTGGGATTTATTGGGTGGACTACTCGCATGGTTTGCATATGTTCCATTCTAGTCCTACCCTACTGCGGTAATGCAGTGAAAATGGTTAGAAAAAAAAATAGTTGATGATCATTTCCTTTATTCTCATGACCTAAATATATGTTTCAAGGGTGATAATGTAAGGAGAAATTAGATGCTAGTCACTCTTAGGGATTAAGGGGTTCAGCTATGATCAGAATGCCATAAAATCGTATATATCACTATTTGCTGGTTTATATCATTGCATCTTACACAGCTTACTGAGCTAACGTATCCTCTCTGCAAAGCTTCTGATATGAACATTCTTCAATACATTCAACACGAATGTAGCATTTACTCACACTCAAGCAATAAACAAATGTTTCATAGCCTCTATACATGAGAAGAAAAGTTCAACAAAATAGCTTTTGTGTCACTGAGCTGCTGGTTCATTCTCCTCTTGATCATTCCCTGATGGACTTCAAGTTTTTTACACAAGGTATCATAACTTTTATTATTGTACTTTTGCAGGTCTATGTAAGAAGTAAGAAAAAAAATTAAATTTCTTTCAAAGTTAGCTTTAACACTTCCCCACCAACACAGCACCAGAGTTTCTTTAAAAACTTATCCCCTTTATTAATATCAAACCATGTTTAATGAATAGCTTAAAAAAATGTTTAAGCTTTGGAGTGAATATGGTATTATTTATTATCAAAAACTGGATCATTGGATAACACAATTGAAGACTTTTTATTGGCTTAGCCATTAAGGTATACGAGCCAATGTACCATAATCTAATATCTGTATATTGTCACATCCAGTTTCTTCTTACAAAATAAAGTTAAAAGAAAATTAAATTTCTCTCAAAGCTAGCTTTTAACACTTCCCCACCAACACAGCACCAGAGTTTCTTTAGAAACTTACCCCCTTTATTAATATCAAACCATGTTTAATGATTAGCTTAAAAAATGTTTAAGCTTTGGAGTGAATATGGTATTATTTATTATCAAAAACTGGATCATTGGATAATGCAATTCAAGACTTTTTATTGGCTTAGCCATTTTGCTATATGAGCCAATATACCATAATCTAATATCTGTATATTGTCACATCCGGTTTCTTCTTACAAAATAAAGTTTAGAAGATTTGTCTAATACCTTGGGGGTGTTTTTTTTTTTTTAATAAAACAATTATTCCACTTGCTCTTGTTGGATACGAGATGATTATAGCCAACTTGGCGCTATGCACCTTGTTGGCTGTCTATCATCTCATATCCAACACGCGCTTGTGGAATTATTGTTAATTATACTTGGGGCACATCATAGTGCTACATCCCTTTCAGAGAGTTGACCATTCTCAGCAAAAAATAGTCACCTACCTCAAACCATTTGGAATTCGATAATAGTCAGTAGTCATCATCATCAGAATCATCAAGCCGCTTCCTGTTGAACTAAATGTTGTACAAAATTAAATTTAATATGGCCCAAATACTGAATTGATATCTGTTAGTGGTAACACAAAAATAGGCCTAGGCAATATGAAGCCCATCCTGTGTTCTGATTGGCTACCCAAGTGGGCAAGATGGGCCCACCTTACCAGCTTGGAATTACCTGCTTTGATCCCATGCAAGAAAAAATTACTTAGAGCAATACAAAATTCATGATTTTTGGACAATGTTGGCCTAGAGTTGAAAAATGCAATGGAAGATGAAAATCATAAATGACTCTTGTGGCCAGGTTCATTGTGCAACAAAAACAGTTGGCTTTCTTTTCTGTTTCTCAAATAAACAAGTCTTGATTCTTAATAAAGTGATGATCTTTTTGCTTTACACTAAAGCCTTTCTTGACCAAGTTTGTTCAGTCAAGATGGTTGGATATTAGGCTTATTCTTTTTTTCCCACTTTTATGGACCTTGACTTGAACTCTGCCAATATCCAGCTGTCTTGAATACACACTTGGTAAATAACCCACAATTATTACACGACTCGGGCAGTCAGAGGGCCAATAACTAAATTCAACCAATCAAAATGCGCTATTGCCGGTCAATATTCTCTCAGTATTGGACCGGGCACTGTCCCGAATGGTCCCAAATGATACTGCACTTGTGTCCCTTTGAACTTCAGTCGTATAATAAATCTCTTATTAACCAAGCTTGCTAGGGACCGTACTGGAAGAATATCGGCCCTCGGTCTTTTTTGTACTGACCGAGCGCAGCGAGGTCCGTTCTGTCAAGACCTTGGACCGATGTTCTCCCAGTATGGCCCTCGCACTTGGTTAATAAGATATATGTAACAGTGATTTGACTAACAAGGAAAGTTTCTTTCCAGACAGCTACACAATTGCATACTGGTATGTATCCACAATCTCATGTAGAAAACTGTGAAATGTATGTCGGCATGTCCACTTAGCTGACATAAATAACTTGAATATTTTAAACATTATCCCTTTGACCCCAAATAGTGACCAGCATCTAATTTCTCCCCACAACATCACCCCTGAATGACACATTAAGGTCATGAGAATAAAGAAAATGATCACTAACTTAAGACAGTCTTGATTGTTAAACAAATTCACCTTGTCAGTGCCTTATTACATGTATAGAAAACAGTATGGAGAATATGCATTCTGATAGTAGGGTGTGAAGAGTTGAGTACAGACATTATCTATCAAGAGTGGTAGCTAGTGTGGTCTGATGGTTCACAGGAGTTTTAATTAACTCCCAAGATCTGGTTGTTCATTCTCCCCACTAGCTGCTATACATTTCCTAATAAATTAGTAATGAGAATTTGGTGTTAGATCAGAAAAAAAAAACAGGTTCTCCTATTCTCAATAGCTGTCTGCTGGATAAGGTCTAGATATTATAGGGAGAAACAACTTGTTAATCATTTCTTGGAGTTAAAGGGTTAGGGAACCCTTGATCGTTAACCAGATTCTCCTGTCAAACTGTAGGAAATGTACAGAGAAAAGTGTGGAGAATATGCATACTGATGTTGGGGTGGAAATGGTAACAAGGGGTGGGCTGTAAAATTGATTTGCTACCTTTACTGTGGTTTTCTTTTGGGTTCGCTCACTAACTTCCTGGAGTAGACTCACCAATTGGGACTCTGATAACTGAAACAGAATTTCATGTAACAGAAATAAATTCAGTTTTGAAAAAAAGTAGTCTGAAAGAATGGTTTTAAACTGTACAGCAGACCTTTAAAATGGCGAGTTTCCTGGAATTTGAAGTCCAAACCTGAGAGTGGTTAGTTGTATCAATGATTTAAAAGCAACCTACACTTACGGATTGTTTAGTTCACTCATTTTACCTTTCCAGCTATCTGCCCTGACCTGGCCATTTGTATTAACATGCTTTCCATCATTTTTGCCTTTTCTGGTTTAACCAGTGCTATGCTGTTCACTATGGGGATATAAGAGAAACTTGTTAGAAAGGATTGAATAAAAACAAAATTAACCCAAGTTAAAGTAAAAATCTAAAGGCCATTTAGCTGTTTACAACTTCAGTCTAGAAGAGTAGTTCAGTACTAAGCAAACTTGTCACATGTTATTCCTTTCCACAATTTTCTTATTAAATGTACCAAACCTCAAAACATCAACTTTTTAAATTTGTTAGTACATATAGTGAACTGCATGAAAATTAAGGAGAATACCGCATTCTTTTGAATTCTGTGTCATGAGACTTGAATTAAAAAGATCACAGCATCTGAACAGAATGAAGAAAAATATAACAAAGAGCCAAAGGGAACTCAATGGAAAAAACAAAAAAACAAAAAAAACCATCTACATGCCAGAAAACCTCTAGGTATTTGCATTTGATGATTGAGAAAGTAGAGCAGAGCAAAGTTTCCTGGGCCTGAATTAATATACCGAGACACTTGGTTAAATATTGCTCTAATAAACTAATCAAGTGAGAATCACAGCGTTTTGCACCATTTACTTACATCTTGCTCTGGCGCCTTGCTCCAGTATTTGAGACAAAAGACTGTTTTTCATTTCAGCCTCCCTAATCAGATAAGAGAAAGGTATTTACTCCTGGTTTCACAGGCACCTACTAGGTGCTTTAACTGGACGACAGATTTAGTAAAGAATGGTGTCGAGGCTTGCATCAAGCGATAGAAAAACTATGGGCATGGGGCATCAAGGTTACTGTACTTCTTCACACTCTGTTAAGTACTTCTTCACACATCAACTCTCCCTTTTACTAACATTTTATGGAAAGGAAAAAATGCTTTTGAGTTTGTAGGAAAATTTTATGCTAAGGATCACGGAAGGGAAAGGGGAAGAAACTATTTAAAATACTTATCAGATAGCCTTTGACAACGCTTGCTGATAACTGTAACAAAATTTGACAAGGCAAGACAGTTCCCATGCTTCATAAACTGATTCTCCCAAATAATTTGCCCTTTTTCTTCGAACTACCAATAATGCAAAAGATAGATTCAACTTCAAAAGAGGCGCTGTTTGACTTAACCAGATTAAACAGTCGGGTATTAAATTTTAACACTATCAATAGGGTAAATAAACAAATTCGAACCTTTGCATGGCTTCCTGTTGCTGTTGCATTTGTGCAGCATTTTGACCCTGTAATTCACAAAACAGTGGTTTTAAGAAAGTATTAAGTGGACAACGGCTATTTCAAAAGAATCTACCCCATATTGCCCTTGCAGTTCCTCCAAACGCTTCGCCCGAATGGCTGCCAACTCACTGTCCTCCGCCATAATTGAATGTTTGATAACTGAGTAACCACGCCTGAGATCTCATGCAGAGTAACCTCGTCTTCGTCTCCTCGAAGCGGAGAGATATTCAACGTAATTATCTCTAACCTTCTTCTCAGTGTCCCTGAAGCAAGAAAGACGAAGAAAAACCCTGGCTAGGCTTGGTTACGCGTCTGTTTGATTGTGGCAGATTTCAAAGGAGGGACGGATGAGTATAAATTGAATTGCCCACTTTGTTCTTGAGTGGGAAAGAGAAATATTGGGCATCAAAACAGCAGTGCGTGGATTTTGTATCAGGAAAAAGGTTTGAAATAAAAAAAATTGTGGGGAAATCCTCCACGGTTACCGTGTAAAGATATGTAGGGAAAATTGATAGGGAAACAACGATCCCAATTTATATTTCACGACTCGTGCACCTCTATTCTAACAATAACGTAACGATGGAAGAAATAAATATCACACTGAGTTCCCATAACCCATGAGTAACAAGGCTTTTGGATTAAAGCTGTATCAAACCTCTACTAAAGGTGGCATATTTACTGCAATGAAGGGTCTTCTTCCTACATCTTTCAATATTCCGTGTCATGAAGTAGTGAAGCATCAACGATAGGAAATTAGCGGACATTGGCATCAGCCATACTTCGTCCTTTTCCCACCCTCTGTCGTCATAAAGTTTGTACCCCTTTTTTTTACGCTCCACGACTAAAGAGTTGACGACACTTTGGTTGAAAATAATCCGGTGGCAAATTTAAGGTATATTATCATCACCACAGTTTAATAATTCGTGAGAAAGACCTAACTCAGGTCAATATACCAAAATGGTCAATTTCACTCAAATACTCTTTTGAAGTAATGGCTTAATTTTGCAGTGTACTGACATTCAACGCACCTTCAGGGATTAATTTTCCAATGAACTTTTGCATTTGATCGTCCAGAAAAAAGAAACACACACACACACACACATATTCGACGCGTTTGGAAGCGTAGGCGTTTCTTAAAGCAATATGCGATTTTCTACATTTCAACGAAGCATGAAGGTCTGATCATTATAACCAGCAATATCGAATACTTGATCATATATATTCTTAAGCGAAATTTAACCAATACGGAGGCCTGTAAATAATATAAAAACAATTAAAACCCTGAGTTATTAGACCGAGGAGGCATAAGAGTAGTACAATTGGGAAATGTTTTTTTTTAATACGGATTTTTTTAGCTAATTGGACAGAAAATTTGAAAAATAATTTACATTTAATAGCCACAGGTTCGTATAGAGTGGCTATTAATATAATAACATTTCAAACACTTTTGAGTGTAGGTTATCATTGTTCTTCTACCTTCGTGTGGAATAATAAACGAGAGACATAGAGAACATTAAAAATAGTTGGAGTCACAATGGTTACGAGTTCCAGGAGGCGGTCATTTACCGGAAATGGCCAAACTTTAGGGTACTTTGAAAAGTACTCGGTGGGAGAAGGTTAGATTTCACGTGTGAGGGTGGCAAATGGTGTACAAGTGATGCTTGTGAAGTCCAACATTGATAAGTGACAAGAGAAGTTTACGAAAAGGTATGGTGAGGTTTGATGTTTTCTCCTTTAAATTTATGACTCGTGAAATACTGTTTAAAGTACGCGTGACGCGTGTATTTTTCTAAAATTCGAGCGTTGAAAATTGGATCAGGGCAACTCCGTAGCTACTCTCCGTGGTGGTCACAGGAACAATTTCACTCTCAAATGGTAACCCAATATAGATTTAAGTAGCGACAAGTTCATAAAGAGCGGCTATTACAACATTTCAAACACTATTTGCATCTCTTCGGCAATATGTAATTTAGGTTTCACTAAAAATAGAAGTGCTTGAATCTAAAATTAGCTTTTATTTGGGGCGCTCTTGAACACCCCCACGAAAATGAAATCTCCCCGTGAGCGTTACATGACCTTGGAATGGCGCTGATTTCATGAAAATCCTGTTGCATCTTTAGTCGCGTCCAAAGCAGCAATACGGGAAACTAAAAAAAGGATGCCCAATTGGTACATAAAACTATAATTACATTATCCCGAAACCAAGTGAAGTGAAGTCAGGCGTTAAAGTGGATTTTCAGTGTCCGCGTGTTAACTGTTGGAATCTGGGGGCAAGAGGTAAGACAACACTCAAATGATGGTCTTTTTCAACGAAAGAAATCCGTACGTGCCTAAAATTAGGGTCGGGTTCTTTAGCCAGGAACAAGGCGTATGCATCGGGGAAGTGTGTGGCGGAGGTGTAATAGCACGGTGAGTTGTCGGAGGAAATTTGAGTTAAAATGGCCGCAAAACGGAACCGGTAAGTTTGTGAAGGGGCGTAGAGAAAAAAAAAACCGATATCCAGCGAAGGTTCCGCTTTAAATTTCAATCGTAAAAGCGATTGTAACGTTTGTACAGAAAGCAAAAAAACTGAGTCAGTTTTTATTTCAGAAAAAGGATGGGACGGCATTATTATGCCAATGACATAAGATGGTGCGCCAGAGATTCTGAGCCAGAGCTAACTATATGCAGCACTTTCAAGCTGTCGGAGGCAATCCTCTGATTGACGAAAAGTCAACTCTGTAGCCCCACAAGGGTCTGCGTTAGGACCACCTCTATTTCTTATTTACATCACTGATATTTCTGACGATCTTGCCTTTTTTCCTTTGATTTATGCCGATGATACTACACTGTTTCAAAATTGTTGACTAGCTAGCCGTACCCATGCGGCTTCATATTGAACATTATCCAGAAAAGCTGAATCACAATTATGACAGTTGTTTCAGATAACATCCCCATATTCCATGCGAGGTCTAATCAGGTTTTGGTACAAACATGCTAACGTGGACACAGGCAGCCCAAGCTCACTACAAGATAAGGGGACCTGACTCTTAGCGTGTTGCGCAACGTTTTATAATTATAAAGGTTTGTATGGGATGTTATCGGTTTGCCTTAAAAGAGAGAAAAAATGTCTTGTTTTGAAATAAAATGGGCTTACCTTATTGCCTTGTTGTTTTCTTTGTTGATTCCTAGCGTCTCAGGCCATTTTGAAGCGTTTTCGGCGAGTTAGCGCTATGTTGGTGTTCAACTGCTAAAAGAAAGACAAGGCCGGAAACCTATTTTAGAAGTGTCCGTCGCCCGAAGCGAATAATTCCGCCAAAAAATTACCACCAGTCTCGATTCCTCCAGAAAATCAAAGCAGAGATGTTGCAGTTTCATTTCCATTCACTCGATTCCCAATTCCTCCCACAGATCTTTCACTAGCGATGCTTTTATCTCCAGATCGATCGGCTTTCCAATTTCGAATTTGGCTGCTTGAAACATTTGCGGGCCCATTGGCCGATCGCACAGTATGTTGGGTAACAAAAATAAGCCCGGCGAGGGTAGCCAGCGACCTGCAGTCGACAAACAAACCAGTTAGCTCCCCTGGTCCCCTCGAGAGGTTTTGTCAAGACCGCATTGTTTTGATCACACATTTCCANGAGGAAATATTTGCCGAGGGAGTACGTGTTAAGTGGAAAAATGGACAACGGGGGAGAGGGAGGGGAAGGAAAAAATATTCAAGAACCTTCGCGGTGACCGCAGTGCAAGTTTATCAATTCCCAGACTCGGCTTATTTTCTTGTATTTTTTCCTTCCCCTCCCTCTCCCCCGTTGCCCATTTTTCCACTTAACACCTACTCCCTCGGCAAATATTTCCTCGCCCCAATCCTCCACAGTTACCAAATCTAAGATGGCGGCCTAATACGAAAATGTGCACTCGTGCGCCCAAAATACGCCGGCACTGCAGGCTATTGATTAAGGGTACCAGCTTTGCGAGGTTATATGATGAAGTTGTTTGGGAGCCCCTTTAGTTTCAGGGTAGAACTGCGTAAATTAGGCCTATTTTGCAAATAGTCAAAAATCTTGCTCTACGTTATTTAACTGAACTGTCGCCCAAACTTTCTAGTGAACGTACATATTTTCCTCTCAGGTCAAGAGAAAACTTCACTCAATTTCGTTGTATAACTTCGACATTTCAAAAGTCTTTTTTTTTCATCTGCAATAACTGGCTGGAATTCTTTGGACCTAGATATCCGAAACTCTGCATCTCTTCCCACTTTTATTACGAAAACACGATAAGTTATCTTTCCGCATACCAAAATCTGAATCGGTGAAACACTTTTCCTTGTATTGCTTAAGGTATGTCGCTCAACGTGATATCTTCCTTACCTCTGCTGCTAATATTCTAGGTGAAACATGGTCATCGAGCTGCGATGCGAGGAAACCAAGTTTTTCATTGTATAGTATTGAGTCTGTAAGTTACGATGTCAACTGTGCGTTTTTTCGCGAAGTACAAAGTTTCATATTAACACTAATCGCTTTTCGGAAGCCATGGTTTGATTGTTTAAAAAATGTTTTCCTGGCTTAGTAAGTAAACTCGTCGTTATTGCAACTTGCGCGTGTTCAGTGTGTGTCTGTTTGTGTGTGAGCCTGAATAAATTGATTTAAAATGTTGTAATATTGTAATCCTCCTCTTTGAGCCAAGGTGCTCTGAAGAAAACAAATGAAAAATTTGTTTAATGGAAAAAAAAAGAAACTGAGAAATCAAAGGATTTGTAGCGTTACTCTTGTTCCTGATTCTGATTGATTCATGGATATAACGGTTTTAAGAAGTGAGCGAGTGAAAGGTCATGCAAAATAATAACAATGTTAATTTGTTTGTTTTTGTCTTGTCTATCTGTATTGATTCCATGTCTCATTTAGACGTAGGTACTACATCAAGCTCAATTCGAATAAAGAGAGAAGGAATGGATTAAGAAGATGTAAATTGTCGTGTAAATTGCCCGAGAGGCGTGGGTGAACATTTTAAACGTAGGTACTATATCAAGCTCAATTTCAATAAGGAGAGAAGGAATGGATTAAGAAGATGAACGAGAAGAACGAAAAACTTTTGAGAAATGATGTAAACCAAGTAAGATGAATTTTTTAAAGGGCAGAAGGGATTGAACCTCGATAAATCTCAAGGTAAGGGAGTCATTTTGCGCACAAAGCCAACAAAAAAAAAGACAAGGAAAAAACATGAGTAATCATGAATGGCCATGAGTATGCTATAAAAGAGGGTCTCAATGGGGAGTCACGTTGACGGTTGACGGTTAAAAATATGCCCTTTTGACGGTTAAATTTTGGTGTTCAACTGCTAAAACAAACTAAACGCCCGAAATTGGCTGTAATTTTTTTATAATAACGCGTTTATAAAGAACTGTTAATTTCTAACACCTTTTATTGATAAATGACCAACGTTTTCACAACACTGAAAGTGTTTCCACACCGGAAGTCAGTTCAGTCATGAGCACTAACCAGTTTTACTCGCGACTAGAAGTTGAAGGACTTACATAAATGTACTTTTGTGATAAATTAAAACTGTAATTTATAAACAATAGAATTTGAACTCAATGAAGGCAATCGTTTAGTTCTTAATTAAGGATATCTGAGACATTTGATGGCTAACTTTGGCTTGCTTATTTGACGGTTGACGGTAAAAATATTGCGCTTTTGGCGGTTGACGGTTAATACATTGGGATGTGTCTAAAACGAAGACCCAAAAACGAAGACCTAAGACCTGAGACCCACTGGTCTAAAACGAAGACCCTGTGGTCTAAAACGAAGACCCTGTGGTCTAAAACGAAGACCCTGTAGTCTAAAACGAAGACCCACTGGTCTAAAACTAAGACCCTGTGATCTAAAAACCTTTTTTTCAAGGAAAGGCTATACACCAAGCTAAAATGCTCTCATTTCTGTAGCGCATAAATTAAAATGTTATCTCAGCGCGCGACCAACTAAAATGTAATATTGGTAACGAGCAAATGTACTAAACTCGTCACTAAAACTAACATTTCGACACTCTTGGAATTTGACTGCGTTACACAATTTGACACGTGATGTGTGCGCTCAGATAAAGCGCGCCCAGATGACCATCCTTGTAGCCTGTGGGGAGTAAATTAGCGAGTCATGCACAATTGACCTTTGCGCCTTTATATGATAACGAGAGTGTAGCAAATTAATGAAGTCGCTTCATCGTAATTTTCTCAATATAAATTTGAAACATAGAATATTTGCGACGACAAAATCTACCAAAATCGTCACAAAACGTATATTTCTATATTCTTAGAATTTAATTGCCTTACACAATTTGACACGTGTTGTACCGAGTGAGATAACGTAACTGTCAAGTTGGTCGCGCGCTAAGATAACATTTTAATTTATGCGCTACAGAAATGAGAGCATTTCAGCTAAGTGTATAGCCTTTCCTTGGAAAAAAGTTTTTCAGACCACAGGGCCTTCGATTTAGACCACAGGGTCTTCGTTTTAGACCACAGGGTCTTCGTTTTAGACCACAAGGTATTCGTTTTAGATCACAGGGCCTTCGTTTTAGACCAAAGGGTCTTCGTTTTAGACCACAGGGTCTTCGTTTTAGACCAGTGGGTCTTCGTTTTTGGGTATTTCGTTTTAGACCAGTGGGTCTTCGTTTTTGGGTCTTCGTTTTAGCCACATCCAATACTTTGGCTATTTGACAGTTAACCCTGTTGAGACCCTCAAAAAACGTTCATTGAATACTTTTAAAGTAAAATTTGTGGCTATTCAACCTAATAATCAAGAAGCTAGTTTTGGACACCTAAAAAAAATTCCAGTAAGGTTGTAGAGATTGGGTATGACACCTTTTAAAATATTTTTATTGAGGTTTCTACAGAGTCAGTGATAGTTGATAAGAGAGCACATGAACAACCACGTATAGAAATCGATCAAGAGCAAGTCGTAGCAAATGATTCAACTGTTTTCGCATATATCTAGTTGTCGACTGATCTATTGGTCGATGAGATCGTGTTTTTATTTCGTGTTGTTTACAATCCCACACTGTTAGGCTACATACCTTGTTCACTGTCTATAACGAATTATTTAACAAGCCGAATTATTCAAGCAATTTGATTGGTTCTTACATATGATCCATTGGAGGACAGACGCACATATGACGCCACCATTTACTATTTTGCTTCTTTATTATATAAAACCAATACAAAATATGCTGACGTGCATCTGTTCAGTAATGGATCATAGATGAAATAAAAAAATGGAAAGAACAAAAGGTGCAGCCAATAAAGCAAGCAGCTTCGCCAATCATATCGCAGTATGTGTAATTATGATAGAACGCTGGTAGATTTATACCATTATAGTCAGTCCAACTTGACAGAGCTGGACCTTGGAAAAAGAACTAGAATTTGTTTAGGACAATCAAAATTAAGCCAAGATTATCCTTCAGCCACCCAGAGAACGAGTCAGTTTATTTGGACTTTAGAACTGTCCACTGATCAGCAATGCGTGGGCTACAGTTAGCTAGCTATGTTATGCTCCAAGTTTGGAGCTCATTTTAGATTCTGCCTAAGTTTAGAACTAAAATATCTGAAAATATTGACACATAATGGCACTTGAAAACTACTTTAAGACGATTTTTAAGGGATAATTGTATCAAAGACCGTGGAGCACTTCAGTGTTATATCCATACGGTACCTACTTTACTAAAAATAGTCACTAGGCGAAAACTTGCGGCAATTTATGACGGTCATTTCCGGTGCGTTACCACAGCTTGAGAAAAATGGTCTTCATGAAAAATCTTGATTTCCATGACGACCGAAACAAAGATTTACAAACTGAGGTATTTAAATATTACCGCAGTTACTCAACATTGCCCCAAGTATTAAAGATCACGTAAATCGCGACATGATTGTGTACATTTCGACAATTGAAAATAATCATGAATAGGATAATTATTCATTTGTAATGAGCACATGAGGGATTGGTAAATCTGTCTGTCTCCCGTATAATGTTATATCTAATGGTTGAATATTGCACACAAAGGAAGTGTTGGTAAATCATTGTTTTCTTATCTAAATTAAGTGGAGAAACACTAACATCTATCCTTTCTTTTTGAGTCTGATAAGGCTTCCATGGTTGTCTCAAACTATATTGTTCCCCGCATAATATAAATAGCGACGAGAATTATCAGAATCAAAGATTTCATGTTTAAAGCCAGAGGTAGTCAATATCCGCAACAACTCCATGCCAATATTATAGCCGTCGTATCCAATTACAGTCGAACACTATGAATGAGCAAATAATTTGTGAAGAAAGGCTTTCTTCACAAATTATAATTTGAATGATAGCTGGCCCAATGCGTCTAATTTTCCCGCGCATTCTGTCACGTGAGGCAGCTTGCGTCAGACACTTAAAGCAGCATAGACAGACAGTATCTCTTCTTGTCGTTTAGGATAAAGTTCACATTTCAAAGTGTTGGGCAGCAGAGATCTAGAGAGGAGATCCCTTTGATCTGGTAAGTGAATACTTCAATTTTAGGGTGTAAATTTATTACCGAACTTCGGTATTCCTCACTAATTTTTCGAAACCAACGCCGTTTGGCGTTTAAAATCGTGCTTGTATGTACTGTAAATGTCCGTGATTTGAATGTATGCTTGCATCAAGTTAGCAACGTCCAGCGAAGGACCGTGAATTTTTGCTGATAAGGAATCACTTATAGAAGCCGGATGTTAGATAATTTAACGGCAATATTTGCCGGACGTTTTACAGTAATGGTAGAGTAATTCTTCATTGCACTGTTTTCATCTGTTTACTGCCTCAATCTTCGGTGCAAGACTCACGACGTAGAACAAACAAAGGTAGGAATGAAAGCGAAATTTCTCATCTTTGTTCTGGAAAGATTATGTTTGTTGTTCGACTGGGTTTTCATCTTCATTGTCTCACGATGGTTGGACTGTTATATTTTTAGTTACAAGATTTTTAAGCTTGTTCGCGCTTCCCCCGCACTGGTCGAGTTTTTTCGGTAAGAACTACCAAGGTTTTTTTTTTTTAATTAGTTCTACGAAAACTATGAAAGTACCATGGACATTCCTAGTATTTGACTGCGTAAGAAAGTTAAAATGGAGAAAGCATAAGCGTTTGACGCAGTTGTGAATTTGAAGTGTTGAAATAGAAGGAGTGTGTAGAACTCACCAGAAAATTCTTTGGCTCTCGACTGGCCCATATAATTTTTATAGTTTGTAAACATAAAAGGTGGAACAATTTAGTATTGCGCCGATATAGCCTAAGGCGTTTCTCTTCTTGTTTTTCTTGTGTGTTATTTAATTTAGAATATTGCAAGGGAATTTACGACGAGTTTTTTTTTTCTCTTTTTATGAATGCATAGACAATAAGTATCTGCCTAATCTAGGTTCCACCAGTATTGTTGTTTCAAAAACAACGTCGGTTTATTGTAAAAGTGAATATAGAGCCGATCTCTCGCCTCGGCAACTACTATTTCTTTAAGAGCCGATCTCTCTCCCTCAGATATTCTCCTTTAAAAGAGGACGGTGTTTGTATACATACAGGCGGTAAGACGATCTAACGAACGATGTTAGTTTGTGGAGCTGTTCCGTTCTGAATATTAATTCAGAATAACCGATGCAAAAGAAAATAAACAGAGTTCGTGACACGAACAATACAACTGATAAATGAATAAACACGTAGTAAAAAGCTAGAATCATGGAAGTGAAAAATAAACTATCCGATTCATGATAGAAATATTTTAATTGATGATAGAAAAATGATCCATCGTACAAATACTCAAGGCCGGAACATAACAGTTCTGATTGACCTTTTTCTTAATGGATATTTATATGAGAGGGTCACCTCAAAAAATGCTAAAGAAGGGGGCTAATACCGCTGAGAACTTGACAACTTTGGATTCTATGACAATTATAGATTGTGTGTGTTCGTCGAAAATCGATGAGGTGGAGCAGATTCTCTTACCTCAATAGTCGAAAATAGCTTTTATGTCAATTTTGATCAGTGTACCCGGCAGTAGCTCAGAATGTTTTGAGGTTAATTCATTTCAGCCTAGGTCAACCCTTTTGGGTGTGAAGATAACTCTAACAATCACATAAGGAAAAATGTTTTAATTCATTCATTAACATTTGTAACATCTGAATTGGAACAATTGTCCTCTACAATCCTCAACTGATTGTTCCGAGATGGAAGCGAATCGAATAACCTGAGAAATAACATAAGTTAAATGTTTATTTTAGCCACACCACGGTTATTCAGAGAAACTGGTTGACCGCAAATCTCAATACAACGTTCGACACCGAACGATAAAGATTATTTTTCTATGGAAACGGTTCTCTGAAGCTTCTGTCAAACTCACAGTTTGGGGGCAGTTTACCAAAGACCTTTCACGATCATGGAAAATGCACCCATTTAGCGTAGCCACTGCTTAAGAAAAACGAATAACGAAAAACAATGTTTCAATTATTGACGGCGAAAAGGTTTCCTTGAAAATTTTATTGAGGGTATGTATAGTCATGTAGATATAAATATGTATATTGTTCAATGGATATTATTTTACCTTGACAAAACCCCCTTAAAATGATACTGAATTTCTGTCAATGGTGCGACTCACTTGAAACTCTAATTACCGCTTTCAGTAGTTTATAGTTAGCTTCAGTTTTTCGTATTTTCGCCGTCGGCACACTGTGTCTGAAACGTTTTATCAATATTAGAACCCGGCTGAATAAATTCCTTCCATGGAAAAGTTGTTCGGTGCTGAAAAATTCGATAACGAGACAATAGGATATTATCGAAGCTAGTTGGACTTTTATCCGGTCTTCTTTTCTCAATGCTTAATTGATATTAGCTTTTTCATTCTCTAAAGTTACACGAGAAGCAGAGATGCCTAGAGCTGGAGAAATTACGAGAGTCAGTTTCTTGAAGTAGCGCCTCTCTGTTTTGTAGTTTGTCGAGCGGTAAAGGCGGGTACTCTCCGAGCCTTTTTTTGTTTATTTGCTTTCCTTTCCTCAAATGCCCCACTGAGTTCTACCTTAGTATTCTACGTACTCAGCAAAGCTACGATTTAATCAAGTCACAAGAAGCGATATTTCATTTCCTCCCGATCGTGTTCAGCACAAGGGAGCGAGAAATCATTTCATCCTAAATGAAAGACCAGGCCCACTCATTGATCCCAACGGCAGACAAGGGTGACACGTTTAACAAGATCATTTGTCATCGAATTCCAGCATCTCGAAAATGTTAGTTGATAGCTTTTTTTTTTTTCAACGAACATAAGTTTAAAGTTTTTAATTCCGTGAGAGGCGTTTCCCTTTCCACCGATTAACTATCCTTGCAAGCGGCTTTTGGTGTAATTATCACCTCTTTGGTTTCTTAGATCTGAGACATCGTAACAGATTCCGCACTGTCTTTTGGTCGGAATTTCCTGGCCATTACAACAGTTATGAAATTGGTGTTTGTGTCAACGATAAGTGCGAGGTAATACATGTTCGAAAGTGGTGACCTTAGTCATGTTAAATATGCATCTAGAGATGGATAATTTGGCTCACATCAGACGATCTCAATTCAGGGCTTCAAGGAAAATCCATGGTTATGTGACGAGACAGTTGATTGCGCCGTTCTCACTCCCTTGAACAAAAGTAACACACACGCTTGCACGCATCCATAAAATAAGAAATATTTTCGTTAACCCACAAAGTAATTTAAAGTGTAATATTGGCATCGTGGTCTTAAACATTTATTCATGGATGAAATGCAACGGCTATAAAACAAAATATTGGGGGGTTCGCACGCAACCCCGATGACTTGGCGGATATATCGTGGAAACGCCTTTCCTACGCCTTCAAGACGAGCACCCGGTCGGATCCCGCCATCGGAAAAACTACACACGGACTAAACCCAGATATAAAGTTCACCATCTTAAAATATACTAAGAACATATCTATTGTCACCTCACTGGGTAATTTACCGATCTGCAATCATACGTTTTTGCACGTCTTTGCTAAAGTCATCAATTGTAAGGCGAATCCGACAGATGGCAGTTTACATTTCAGATTGAGAAAGAGGGATGCTGAAATCTTTTATCGGCAATAAAATGACACCAGTGGTCCTGTCAGCGCTTGATTGGGATAAAAAGTTGATGCGATTCTGCTTGATAAAAAAATTCCATTTTTTTTTATCTTTTTCGGCCATCAAAAAAATTCTTTTTAGGATAAACATGATTAGTAGATCACCATAGACTTATAGAAAAGTAGTTTTAATTAACTGAGCTTGGAAAGTAGAAAGGAAAACAACACATTTAAAAAAGGAGATGTCATTCTTCTTAATCATATGTTTGATTAGGGCCGGGGAGATCAAAGTGCAGCGGGCAACAAATTCTTCTGATGATCAATTAAAATCATTTTCAAGTCTCCGCATCTCGTCTGCGAGGTGTCAGGGAATGAAACTATCACTGGAACCAGGTCAGATTGCCGAACACGCCTCGTTTCCACGACACTGAAGGGCCGAAAGAACTACAAGACCTCTAAACGGATTAACGGTTGACTTTGTCTCATCGTAAATCATAAGGAACCACTCGTCTCAAGTGTTTTCAAGGGCGTTTGTCGATAGTCTCAAGATGACTTCTACGACTTGTTTCGCAGCTGTGGCTCTGTTGACAATCTCTTCCACTTTGGCTGCTTTAGCGGAAAGCGACAGGGATAGAAATAGCTCAAAGGTAAAGAGATAGACTTGGTTGTTTCTTAACTTTTTCTCTCTCTTATTTGTGTTTTGTTTTATTTAGTTTTGCAATTTGCGCATCTGCTGCACACAAACTCATTATTTAAATGACCTCATATGCTGAACAAATGGAGTTTTCTTGTTGTTAGATTGACTAAGATGTATGCTTCGTGTGAGGCCATTGTGACGAGAGAGCAAAGCTCATACGGACCATTTTAAATAAAGAAACCGGTGTTTTGACGATAACCTATAATTTTGTTTGAATGTATAAACGTTCAGAGAAAGAGGAAAGGTTACGTTTATTACCTTGCAGTTCTTCAGTTCCTTTAAGAAATCTGACACATAGCCGTATCATTGTTAGTAGAACCGAATGCTAGCCAGAAAAACCACAAAAGATGTTTAATTACTTGCGAGCGAGCTCAAAGACTTATCTTCGTGCGTGTTCATGTGTAAAGCCATAAGAACCAGATTATTAGCCACAAAAATTAGTCTGTCGGATTGTTATAAATGTTTGCACAGTAGAACAAAGAATATTCTCTTGAGACATTACGTTGGCGGGCGTGATGAGCTATTTTTAATGCAGCACTCGAGAACCCTTTTATCAGGCTTTCATGCACTTTCTAAGTGGCCCTTAAGATTGTCTATTTTTGTGGAAAGTTTATCAACCTGAAGTGCCATAAGCTTCCTGGCTGTCTCTTTTGGATCATGATTGTTGAGCGACGAAAATCAGTGCTACTTTTTACTTCTATGTCAAGGAATCAATTTCAATTTAGCAGTCAGTTTACTTTGGCGAGAGTAAGATGCGTCAAAATCTATGAAATAGAGTAACTATCTCAAATAATAGTTCGAAATTAATTTTTCATGATTCTCATCTGATCCTTCAAAGCTTTACGTTACGATTGAATCGGTCTTCGTACTGATCAGCGTCAATGGACTCCGCTAGCGTACTTGACATACTTCTCATACCTTCAAAATCGTCAATTCAATCGATACGCCCATTGGTTTACCGTCTGGAAGTTCAAACTTTTCTCGATGGTTAAGAAAGACGAAACAAAACTCTTTCGAAGAATTTCGACGACTATACTAACTACAAATTTAATCAGTAGTGGGGTTTTTTTTTGGGAGGGGTGGGAGGAGGGGTTGGGGGAGGACTGCACAAATAGAGAGAAATTCTGACAAAATTTCAAATATTTTCAAACCATTAACAACTCTATGTATTGTTTATGACTTACACAACTGTTTCTTTTTCGTTAATATTTAGAAAAAAAAAGTCAAATGGGAATCAGGCAAATTGTTGTTACTTCCTTACTTTTATTTTTGCGATTGTTTCATGTTATAGTTGATTTTTTAAGGGAAACATCCAGCACTGTAACAAATGGTCCTCAAAGGTATGAAATATCCTGTAAACTCAAAATGTTTGTACTAAGATCGGAAGCGAGCATCAACCGTGCGAAAGAAAAAAATAACAGGACCGTTGACTCCCGATCTGACTCGAATCGTGATTACGGTTCGAATCATCAGGAGATGAGAATGACTGACCGGAAATAAGGACTAAAACGGCGGTCGCTGTGCATTTGAATCAAATTTCATCGCGGTGTAAAGCAGTCTGGTGAAAAAGGAACTTTTTTCAGAAGAGCTTTTTGAAGATGAGCTGTTGTTTAGTTGCATCCTAGTGCAAGGAAACTTCAACTGGAATGGCAGTCGTTTCGAATGATGCTAAAAAAAAAGGGAAAAAGATGTGAAATTTGCATTTGTGAAAGTAAAAAAAGCAAGTTCTAATCATCAATACATCTAAATCTTATAGCTCTATTTCTTTATTTTTTTTGTGTCGGGCCCTAATACAAAAATAAAATTAAAAGAAGTGGTGTCTTAACAATTCGCCCCCTGTTCCGGGGCTATTCAAATGAGCCTTTGGTCGCAAATTTATGCAACACTTTTTTCGGGCGAAACCTTATATTTTGACCTTAAGATCATCCAAAAAGTTCTTTTAATAGTTAAAGTTGTAAAAGTTTTATGCTTCGCGATATTTTCTTTTTTATTCTAAATAATAGTCTCTTTCTACAACATTTTTTTGTGGATGTTGGATGGCAACTTATTCCAGCGCTAGATGTTCTTTCTAAAGATGTGACATTCTCATTTTGGTGTAAGTTCAACCATCCTGTAACATTTTTGGTGTAAAAAATTATTTGCCTTAAGGAGTGAGAACCGTTCAGTGAACCCTAAAGGGATACCACTTGTAATGTAATTCATAAAATGTTTAGGCAAAATCAATTAACAATTGGTTCATACGTCAGCGTGCATTCATCGCGAGATATGAAGCACTTGGGAAGTTTGGAGAGCCCTGAAGAAGCTAGAGTTGCTCTCGGCTACACCTCGAGCAACTCTTACACATCTTTCGTGCTCTCCAAACTTCCCAAGTGCTTCATATCTCGATGAACGCACAGCTGACGTATGAACCAATTGTTTTATAACATTTTCAACGCTGTAGTTTATGTATAAAGGGCAGAAATTCGCTTTCCTACGCTTCAATGCGTTGTTTATTTTGTTTCGGAAAAGTATTTTGCCATGCTTCAATGATCTTATCTCAGATTGGTCAAAATTTGATTCATGCGTGGAAATGAAGTTAGAGTTTCGAAATGAGATGAAACCGTTGATTGTTTTGTTTTCCCTTTCTCTGGGTTCTTTCTCGGGAGTTAAAAAATCCCTTCTCAAAGAAAAAGTAGGCAGATCTTCATTGGCTTGTTCGCTTGTTGCTATGTCTAGTTTAACTTTTTTGCGGAAGTTTTTCCCGTTTTTCAATGAAAAATGCTGAAGTCACTCGCGAGAAAAAAAATTTTTCGCGAGGCATTTGTTTGCTGACGTCAGCAGCGGGCACAATAGAAAATTGAAGCACGCTCGCGCTATTGAATTTGATTGCACGAATTTTCAAGCTATGTTATAATGCTAGTTAATAATAAGAAAGCCGAATGAATATGGTGTGATATTTGGTATCAGCTATTCCAAAAAGTGGTGTGTTTGACTTTCGATGTGTTCTCGTGCAAGATGCTATATCGTCCGTTGTCTCTCTCCACTAAGGAATATAGATGAATGTCAGGGAACTGTCAGACGAAATACCCACGTTCGGGATGCCTAACGAAATACCTTAATTAGAGTAGCCTGCTATGGACAAGCATCCTATCCAAGAGAATCGAATGCCTCTCGCGAGTCATGCTACTAAAATGGGGGACCTTAATGTAAAAAATTTTTTACAAACGGTTTGTCAGTCAATGGTGGTACTCTTTTGAATTTTTCATCAACAAATAACTCCAACTCTTAATTTCACTTTCCACCTAACTTTTGACGTAGCCGACGAGAAACAAGTGAGGATAGGCTTCAGGTCCCTATAAGTTAATAAATGGTATGATGTATAAATGACATGTGCTTAAATCATTGCCAGAACGTTGTTACTTTTATCTCTTTTCACAGGCAAGAAGTGATATCACAGAACTCGGCTCGATTAGGAAGAAGACTTTACAATGCCGAGAGGAAAGAGACTGTCAAAAGGGCGAGGTATGCCATACAATTCTAAATGTTTGCTTTGTTATGCCTCAAGAGAAAAGCAGAATGAAACTGAAGGTTGAAAAAAAGCCAACAATCCCTTGCAAAAGTGACAAGAATTGTAGCAAAAGTCAGTCTTGCCACGCCCTTTTTGGATGTGTGGATAATCTTCCTGTTCCTGCAGTCACGACTTCACCCCAGATAAGCGTGCCTAAGTGCAAAAACAGTGCTGAATGCCCTGATGGCCAATATTGCCACGACTTCTTCAACATGTGTCTACCAAACTTCACAATGTTCTTCGAAACAACGGCTTCTACGCCACGTGCTGGATGCAAAAGTGACTCAGACTGTGAAAACCAGGGAGATTTCTGTCATAACTTGACCAGGTTGTGCCTTCCATTACCCACAACCGCCATAACCTCCTCTCCTCAAAAAAGCGCATATGCCTGTAATTCCCATGCAGATTGTAAAATGACCGAGTTCTGTCATTTTCTCATCGGAATGCGGAGTCGAGATAAATCCGGAGGCCTTGGGCCGTACAATAACTTAAAGTCTGCCCTCGGGGTATGCATTGCCCGAGCTTTAAAGGATGTTCCTGATGATCCAAGTCCATTGTCTTCAAATTGCAGTCATGCCGCAGATTGCGGAAAGGGAAGGTGTTGCTTAAAGGATTTAGGGTTATGTGTGGGCTACCGCTTGCCTGGAGAGCTTTGTGTTGCAGAGGTAAGTTCCGATTTTTCTGCGTTTTCATGAAAGAAAGCGATTCTACGTTTGACTTATGCGGCCATTCTATTTATCATCTTTCCCAAATAATAAACTCTTACGACATTTCACATGCGTTTTATCACACGTTTTCATTGACTTTTGTTCCTTTTCTATGCAATGATGTCCTACCAATTTGCCGCGGAAGAGGCCATCCCTTTCTTTTTGAGTTGAAAGTAATAAGTTTCAGCCGCTTGGAAATTTAAAACAGTTGAATAGAGCAGAAAGTTTGGTTTGGCACCTTTTCCCTCCAAACACCTTTGTGTTTGTTAGCTTTCTGGGCATCCTTGATTGTCAGACCTTCCTTCACGTTTGTTTTCCTCCAGGACGTCTCATTTGCCTTTTCCTGCCCGTGCCTTCAAGGTTTTACGTGCATCAGCAGGAGACGCCCCATGCGACTCAGGAGGCTGGAGAGAAAGCTTAAACTGCCTAAAGAAGTAGTGAAGAAGCTGAGCTTACAGTTTCATAAAACAAATGAATTTAGGGTTGGCAAATGTCAGCTTATTTCTGATTGAGGTGTGGAAGCTCTCCTTAATACCCAGCATGGGCTAGTTCGAGATCACATTTTCTAAGTAACGATGATGGTTCTATGAGAGAGGTTTACAGCCATGCCAGATCATGCTGATCTGGCATGAATAGACTTATGTGTAGTAAATAAAAAGTTATTCAATTTTTTCAGGAGCTATATTACTAGTATGCGTATTGTACAAAATCGATCGTTTGCCTTAGATGATTGACAATTTTTTTGTAAATAACTGAGGTGTTATCATAATGACTCAGACAATTAAAGGGAAACGTTAAATCTGGCTCAGCTCCTTAAAATGAGAAACGCTTAGGAGCATCTTTTTTGTTAAATCGTCTCGCTGCACTTTCTGCAGATCTGTTACTCTCAAGCTCCATGTCATGTTTGTAATTGTCATTTATTATGGTGATCTATATTAGCTTCAGCATACCATTCAATGAGTTCGATGTCATCTACACAGACGACATCAAGCGTTATAGGTTAAGTTTCTCTTTTGTCTTCATTGTTGTATCCAAAGAAATAAGATGTAGCGAATGGAAATAGTATCGTGATTATTCTCAAGAATTAATAAATTGATTAACTTATAATTGAATAAATATTTTTAATGAAAAACGGCCCAAGGAGATGTAGTACAAGTGTGAAGGGAACACGAACTGATGTAGGTCGTATTCGTTATTTTTTTTTTTTTTTCGGTAAGAAATTGTCTCAAGTACGCCTTAGCGCGGTCGAAAAGAAAACAGATCATGGCCGATTAATAGATTTTAATAGTTAATAGATCCTAGGCTGAAGGAAAGTTTCAATTAATCTTTGATGCGAATAAACGATCTCGCTGTATAGGTTGAAGCAGTGAAATAAATGATTCTAGACATTCAAAAAGTTCTGATGTGTCTTGGACAGGAGCAACGTCTCTTACACAGTTTCTTGCAAGTAAAGCCAAGAGCCCACACTTAAAGGGCTGTATGGAGGTTATAGAAGCATGAATGACGCAAACTAAGGTTCTATGAGGCGACTTGGTAAATCTTGTTCGACAAGTAGTTTCTATATGTGGACCTATGTTCTGAATAACAGGTTTGATGTTTTCGGTTCAGCGCCTGCAGGGCCCAGTTGTTCGAAGGTCGTAGCGATCACCCAGGGTTAAATTTTGATATCGCTTTCCTAATCCTTTGTTCAAAAGCCCTTTTCAGACAATTTTCTCAATTCTTTTAAGAGCATGCAATCATCAAATTGTACAAAAAAAAATCATACCCAGTTTTCTTTTGAAACTTTTAGGTCTGATACCAGATTTTACACTAACCCTGATTCATCTTAAACCATCTTTGAACAACCCGCCCCTGCCGGACTCTAGATGAAGAAATTGCTGGGATAAAGTGGTCCACATGTTTTGTTAGCAAAATGGTGTAGAAGTTGGCGAATTGATCTCAGCTGGTTCACGGAATACTCAATGGAAGGACTCATCCTCAGTTGTAATTCATGATAGCCTCTTGAACTGTGAAAGGCATTTTGGAAAACAAATCTGATCGGGAACTCACCAAATATCACGCTCTGTGTTACCCAATTAGGGATAAACCCTTATCTAGGCATGGGCCAAGGAACAAAGATAACAGCAAACAATGGAAGCAAGCGTTCCGTAGTAATTTTTTTTTTGACTTACTTGTTATAAAGAAAAGAGGATAAACTCAAGGAAGCTTATGTGGTTGGATCGTGAGTTCGATGGTATTTATTTTAAAGCGCACGTTAGTGCAAAGGGGAAATCGTAATCTGGATAAAATACGTTGTTGAAGGAGACATTTGCTTGTAAGGGACAATGGCATATGAAAAGAGATATGTCTCCAGTTTTAGGTTAGATGAAAAGAGATAAAGATTTCACGGTATTCCGTTAATTGCTTTGGCATTGGCAACCTTAGCATTCAAACCAAATATAGGGTTATCATCAAAACAAATGATATTTCACCCTTAGTGATTTACGGTTACCTTTTTTAGAAATGTTTACTGAAATTAGATGAAGGATGTTTTGCAAGTTTTGCAGTCAGGCGACTTAGTGGAGCCACCTTGATATTAATGAGATCTACTTCGGAAACACCTACAGCATATTGCAAATGTTTCGAATAAAAGCTGATAAGCATTCATGACAATTTCCTTAGTGTGACCGATTTTTGATTCAAGGTTAAAACCATCGACAACCAAAGAAAGACATCTTATTTACATCGTTATTTTCTTGGCACCTAGATGCGGAACACTTAGACCGACAATACTCACGATGTGCTACTTAGGGCAAAAAATGTCGCCCCAATTTACGTTTATTCAAATGAGATCAATTGACGTTATCTGTTTCATATGTGGCTAATTAATGACATCAATCGTACATAGTTTTCCTGCTCCATATTTCAAGCTAACAAGGTTAAGTAAGAGTAAGTTATCACTTGAGTTGCAACCGTAGACTTTTTAGTTGTCCTTTGAATTCAGCTCCAGCTCAATGTGCTTTCTCCCATTCCCACCTCAAAGCCGAAAGTCTAACGGCAAACAAAGGAGGCGAAACTGCATAACAAAGAGTAATTTAACAGCTGGGAAGCTGATCAGAAACTCTGCGAACTGTTCGTTTTTCTGAAATGAATACTCTTGTAGATTGCAAAAGACACCGCGCTGACTAATTTTCTGGGCGCGTTTAGTTTCCACGACATGGAAAACCAAAGGGACAACATTGATTCACACTAAGAAAATGAAAGCTTCCATGATGAACATTTTCATTCGGCCAGTACAAGGATTTTTTTAGACGAGATTTGCTTTTCAGCTGAATGGGAAACCATCTGCACGTTTTTCCACAAGTTACAAACAGTTTAGCCCGAAAATAGGTCTGCATAAGAGGTCGAGAAAAAGCTGTTGTAAGGAAATCCAAGGTCACAAAAAAACAGTGATAAAAGACAATAATTAATTGGACTTCATTTAGAAAAATGAAAAATGGATCTGTCAGATGTAGAATACTGATGCAAATATATTACAGAAAACCATGTATGCAAAAAAACCCAATCCTTTATTAGGTTCCGGCTTCCTATCTTTTGTAAATACGACATTCCTTATCTAAGAGATACTTAATTACATAATGGCTACTTAGTAAGAATGAAGAGACAATCTTTTCTAGCGGTAATTTTTCATTTCAGAATGATTTTTTAGGCTAAATACACTTTAGTACAGCGCCTATTCGAATCAGTACTTAGCCATAAGGAAAGCCTGTAAAAAGGATATGCATGACTGCATAAAGACCTGATTCATTTGGCAGGCTAATCTTGTGTCTGAACAAACAATCGTTCACGAAGCTTTAATTACATTTCGTAATTGAATTCTGGATATGCATGTGCTCCGAGGTCCTTGCCAAGAAAAATTGGCGACAGCACGGCACTGAGCAGTGATTGAAAACAATAGGAGACATATCATTTTCTTGACGATTTGATGGATTAAGGGCTGATAGTTTCGAAAGAAACTGTTTGGGGCTGTGTCGATGGGGGTAACGAAATAATTTGGATATATCAACAAAGTTGAAATGGTAAATTGGCCACCGTAACGATTACAAAAGCTGACGTTTCGAGCGTTATCCCTTCGTCGGAGCGAATAGAGGAATTGTGGGTTGTGTGTGCTTTTAAAGGCAGAAAATGGAGCTACGTTATTGATTTGATGGATTGCTTTGATAACCGGCACGCTTTAAAAAGACCGCTCGAGATTAAACTTAGAATTTCACTTAAGCTTTAAAAGCCTTCGGCCAATTTGCTTTATGAACTTAGGGACCTTTATCCTTTTTCAATTTCCTTCATAGCTTGGTGTCATACAATTTTACCTTCAAGGGATATGGAAGGTCACTACTAAAGTTAAGATAATAGATTTAATATGCTGTACACCCTTAAGACCTTTAATTTGTTATGACTTCGTCGAGATACCTTATTGATCTTCGACAAAGACCGTCGCGGCGACATCGAAAATAGCTGTTTTTCACTCAGAAACTTGGGCTGCCATGATATTCCTTTCGGTTAAAGGTGTCATGTTGATAAAACAGAGTACTTAAAATAACTGTGACACGTTTCCAGAGGATCTTTATGGCTTAAGGCTACTTAGCTTTCCACGCAATTTCCTCAAATTTAGCGGTTTAGAGTTTCCGTCGGGTTCTTTCAATGCATCGGAAAGAAAAGAAACGTGTCGACGGATTGAATGTGCTTAAAACAAAACTTTAGCCGGAAAAATCTGCTAAAGCCGACACACGATCAATGATTAAATAGCTTGGCACATTCTTTTCACTTGGACAAAACTAAGGCAACACATAGCTTCGATAACCCGAGCACATGCCGACGTGGACTAAACATTTTTTTAGCCTGCTTTAACAGACAAAATAGGATTCAGTGGCGACAAAGAGGCGACCATCCCATTTCTTCTAAGTAATACCATCTTAGTTACCCACAAAAACTAATGAGTAATAAATAAAGCTAATACCCCTAAGTAATTTACTTTGTAGTTAAATTTACAGAATCTCATCGGATATTCTGCGTTTTATAACTTGCACAGCATACACTTAGGCGTCTCGGCCTAACTTTAGTTAGTCATACATCACTAACCAAAAACTGTACACTTTTACTATTTGATTTCTAGTTTCAAGATGAGAGGACCTACTGGGACGTATTCCAAATGATATTAATAAAATGCCATCTCTCGACAGAAGTAACATTAAGTAATCTAACGCAGCATCTGATCTGCAATTCTTCTTTCTAGGTTCCATACATTTTTTCGCAAAGTGGTGTGGAGAGTGGGGTATTATATCAAGATCACACGCACTAGCTATAATATGTCTACTCGCATCTCTTTTACCGGATGATGTTGGATGCTTTAAGAAAAAGTTGCATATATATCATTAGAAATCAAATGAAAAGTCACTGAAAACTATCTTTGCTCCTTGTTTCCGCCGAATGTTTCTCCTACTCGTGGGTGTTAGGTCCCCAAACGTATGAAGAATAGAGAGAATCGGTATTATGTAAGTAGAACTAAATATGGGCCCTGCTTGAGGTTTTTTTTGGCTCATTTTACGCTAAGAATTATACACTTTCAGTAAAACTCGCATCTTTTCCAGCCTGATTAAGTGTCAGCGTCTTGAAAAGACGTGAATAATGATAATAATTTTTGTCAGTTGTAAGCAATATTCGGGTTACGGGTATTTCTAACTCATCGTACCCATATTGCAATGCGTTTATTTGGCACCTGAACATACTGAGCCCCAAGGAACCCAAACTGAGCCATATCCCAGCGACCTTTTAGTGGAGAGCCTTGTAAGGTAGCATAGTGGCTCTTAAGCATAACCTCGTTTTCATTATTGTCGAGTAGGCACGGCTTGTGGGCGGATGCAGGGGAGCCGACATGGAGGCCATGATCGTAGAAGCGGTATGAGTGTTTCACCTTGTTTCCCCAACATATAATCTTTCCACTAAACGTCTTGTCCTTGCGAGTGTGCTTGATGATATTCCACGTGTAGTCTACGTTGTCAAGCGTGTATTGACCCCATTCGTGATCCACAAACATCTTGTTCTTTTTGCTCGGGTTGAATGCGGCGTAGGCATCTTCGGTTGCCGTCCAGTCATTTCCGGAACCAACGAAGGTGAACCGAACAGATTTTCGACCAGAAACGAACAGCATCCGGATGATCGTGTCGTTCAGATGGACTCCAGCATCGACGTTGCTTTTAATTGACAAGTCCACCGTGTCCCTTTGGTGGATATCGTGGAACAGGTTGGCATTCATTGGGTCCGTTTTAGACCCTCGGCACATACCACCATCTCTATCAGGACAAACCCAGCTGTAGTCATGTGTAACCTTGGCAACAAGGGTCCACCCTCCTCCTGCAGTCGTCATGTCGCAGTACGCGCGAAATGCATTCTGCTCAGGGTCTGTACCAGTTGGATTGATCCAGTACATGCCGTCACCCTGACTTTCACCTTTGAACAATATGTCGAGACAGGACTTTCTCGGTGGTGAGTTGCTAATCTCCCCCCGCAGGACAGTCTGCAGTTGTTGCCATTGTTTCCGGCTGCAGAGGAACAGCTGGGCAGATGTTTTGTCGTACCTTAGTTCTCCTTCTGCTCGAGCATCACAAGATTCAGGTACAGACGATGTAAAAATGTTTTTGCAACTACTGGAACAGCTGTCTCCTTTATCACCCTGAAAGAAAATAATTGCAAAATGTTAAATTTTTAGACGGGTGCTTTTCTCGTTGCCACAAAAGAACAACAGACGTCTGCGTACATTGAGAGAGACTTGATATCCCAATATCGCAGAAATGTTGGCGAAGCCGCCCCATTTTACATCACTAAAGAAAATCCTAGATATAAAGCTTCAGCCAACAGAAAAAGAAAAGGGAAAGTAAAGAAATAGGAAACGCTTGCACTGGGCGCGCCGGGAACACTATTTTCTTAATGAAAGATTGAATGTTTAAAGTCCAGACTGATACCAAGTAAATACTGGAAAGGATTTCATGAGAACTGTTTGCGGGGGGTAGACTAAAGAACCACTTATGATGAAGAAGTCTCTTTTAAAGTTATATATAATTCAATAAAGCTCTCATTCACTTAGTGCCGTGGGAGTGTAATGAATACTTTTTAATAGGCTCCTATTCATTGTCCCCTGTGACGCCAGGTGGAAGGATTACAACTGCATGTATGCAATTGTAACCCTTTTCATTCCCATGAGTGACCGTGACAAAACTTCTCCTTACGATATACAATATCAAGCGGACAAGTGATGAGAATTAAGTAAAAATTTCAATTAAGGGATGATTAATTGATGAAGTACCCAATTCCCGAACTAAAAACCATGAGAATTGCCGGTGTAGAAGACATTAAGAGGAATTGCTAATGAGATCTGGGAGGGAAAGGGTTAAAACTACGTCACTCACACCAGGTGGTTTTTGGCACAGGTGTAAGCTATTTAAGTCTGATCCATTGTTCATTTTCAAAGCCACTCTAATCTCAGATTTACTTTTTAATCTGTGTTATTCTTAATGTTGTTACGGGATTGGTCTTCATTTACCTTCGCTTGCCAATTCAACATGTTTTTTTTTTTTAAATCTTACAAAACTTTTAATTCCATATTTTACAGCTATTTGGATTTTCTGACAGAATTCTCCATGTCCACAAAGAACGCAGTGGATGACTGACTTTTCAGAAAGTTTTGAAATATTATTCTAACGCTTATTGAGAATTTAATTCCACAAAGATTACAGACAAAGGGTTTTCATAGTCATTGTGAAAATGGTAAAATTTGATCAGTGACTGAAACAAATGTTAATATTTTGCTAATTCATTTGATACGTTTGATCACAGGAAGTGAGCACATTGAAGGATCTTTGGTGACCTCCCACATTGTACTGCCCACGAAATCTTCCCTCCTTCTCTTAATGGCCTCAGTTAATAGTCTCCAAGCACTCACTACCTTTTATACAAGCTCGAATCCTTCTGTAGATATATAGGGAAACTGCTTGGTGTGTTCATTATCAACGGGCACTCTCTGAACTCTAAAATTTCTCTATCTTTCAACTTTTCTATGAACAATGATATCAAGACCAAAACATAAGATTTAATAGAGAAGAAGCTAATGGGAAGAATACGTCGACGATTCTCATTCTAACGGTTTCAACCCCAATTTATTAGATTCCAAAAGAACTAACTTCATAGAATATGAACCATGATCCTTTATTAAGATTCACTAGCCGTCCCAGCCTCCCATCCATAGATGTAATGTAGTACTTGAACCTTTCACTCGAGAGGGCCACACAAAAGGTGAAGCTAATCCGGATGTATAGTTTGTTCAGCAAATGTAAGCAATTAAATCCTTCTCGGCGAGTGAAAGCATTACCAAGTTAGCGATAGGCTTTCGTGTTCAGAAAAGAACTTACTAACTGCCTAAAAAAGCCTAGCAGAGAAAGCTACATGAGTAAAAACTGTTGAACTGTGTTGCCAGTCCTCTCCATTAAGTGCAGGAAACTCGAACATCTTCCTTCCTCGCTCGGTTTGCTCACGCTAATTAAAATTCAGATCTCAGTGGGGGATACAACATGCAAACTTTCGTTCGGTAACTAAAATGATGTATTTTCGTCCACTTCATTAGAGTAATGAGAGATATCACTCCTAAGAGCTTCTTAACCTTCAGAGGTGTTTGTATTACCCTACAGGAAAGAGCCAAACTGCCTATTGTTTCATGATTTTTGAAACACCAGTGTGGGCTGTAATCCAAGACTTCCCTTGGAAGGAAATTCCTTGAGATTCCATTCTACAAACTAATAATGATGAACGAATTAAATGGCCGTTGGCGAGTTTCTTAACTGAAGCCTGATTTAATGTTCTTGCGTTACTATCTTAAGTGGTTGAAACAGGCGGAGAATACTGAACCATCTTGGAAATCATGCTTCAATGCTTCAAACTCTGCTATCAGTAAACTATAGAAAAATAGGTCAGGCGGCGGAATGCAGCAGGAAACAGGGGAGTAAACACAGACATATCATGATATTTTTTTAACAGTCAGGACTTGTGCTCAGAGACTGACACAGTATTAAAATCTAAAACAGCTGATTGCAGTTTGATCATTTTGAAAAAGTTCGCCAAAGCACTCCAAAATTTTTGTCCACAGCTTCGTTCGTCGACAGATGGGAAAGCGAGTAGAATATTCCGAGAAAGGTCAACTCGCGCCCCTTTTCAGGCGGGGGTCAGGCACTTAGAAAGATTATATCTCACTGATAAACCTCTGAAAGTGATACGGTTGGACTCTCTTCACATTCCGACAAAGGCTTATTTTAGCAGGGCGTAAATTATTTTAAGCTTTTTTCCATGTTCTGTTAAACAATAAAACTACCCGCTTGATACAAAGCCAGAACCTCAAAACTAATGAAAATTAAATCTAGACGCCATAAACGATAAAGTGTGTGCTAATGGAATTAATTCCTACCTTTTCGCCCTGGCTGCCTTTCTCGCCTTTTTCGCCTTTTTCGCCCTAGAAAAAAGATTAAACAAGAAAAGACGCAAGATGACTCTTATTTTCTTTCAAGGTTGTGGTGATATACAAGGGATTTGGTGGGTAACAGGAATCTCAGACTGCGTTACACCTCTAAGTTGCCTTCGCAGCATGAGCTAAACCAACTGTCATCATGTAGCATATCCCGCGGACAGGAAACAGAAAGGTCCGTTCTTAAAATTGTAATAAGCGATCCTAACATGATGACGGAAGGGGATGAAAAGAATTTTTTTGGCAACTTCAATGAAGTCCGCTTCCCCTGGGGCCTCTCAGAATCGGTGCCATCAAAGCATTGAGTGCGATCTCCGCCGTAAACCGTGCCAGCTTTTGGGGAAATTTCCCAATTTAACCTTAACGTTTTTTAAAAACGTTTCATGTCGCTGTGTAGCGCTTGTTGCAGCTTTTCCGCTTTATATTGGCAAGGTCAAACGCAATACATTTGCTGAAGGAAGGCCACTGAGCTATGCTTCGCTATTTGTTGATATCCGCTTACAAATCATATCACAGAACCCTTGAACGAGTGAGGTAATATGACGATTAAGGAACTAAATGAATTCCAAGCATACAATGTAAATAACAACTCGAATATAATTGCTGGATAAGCTGGGGAGCGCACGACAACAGCTATGCATAATACGCCTTATTATGACTTACCCTCTCTCCGCGCAGGCCGTTGATTCCCGACAAAAACACTTCCCCGAGCTTGATCCTCCTCGAGGATAGCACTAGATGGCCACCATGTTTTGGTTTTAGCGTTAACCTTGCTTCTCTGTTTTGCCTGGGAAGTTACATTACGTGAGGTCAGTAAAATTAGAAACGAATTATCCGATAATGAATTAGAACCTCATCAAAAGTACATCACTCTTGCACGAGATTGTTAAACCTGGCCATACGAGCTTGTAGAGGGTTACACGGGCCTCTAGGTATCAGACGCTCTTTTGTATAACTTACCCTTGGCGTTTGGTTGCCACTGAAAAATCCCACCAATAAAAGCCGATATATAGCACGGCGATTCCCTGCAGTAGCGAGACTTGCATGTTAACCACTTTACGGCAGACCTCATAACAAGTGAATGAGAGATTTAGGCTCGCAAGGTCTACACCACAAGCAGCCCACTGATTGGTCGATAGAAATGACAAGGCCCCATCACTCAATTAACGATAACTGAAGGAGTGCGGTTCGCAAACTGACATGCTGTACAATCTTTTGTTTGCGTAAATAATTAACAGCTCCATAAACACCGGAAATAGATTAATAAATGCACTGTTTGAATGCAGGCAATTTAGAGCGCATTTCATGTGGCCTTTGTACTTGGCGTATTCAAAGCTTATCCCAGCTCAATAGAAGTCTCTTGTTCGCTAATTAATAATTACATACCCAAGAATGGAGAAAATTGGCCTTTCCAAGTTGATCAAAAGATCGTTTAACTATGCAGTGTACAACCAGAGAAACTTTGACTGCAACAATTACATCAATGGAACGTACTGTTGAATTGTAAACATTTTAAAACTTTCACTGATAATAGAAAATGAATTAAAAGATTTTATCAGGTACTATGCCTCACCTTCACGATAATGGTTTATAAATGGGCTCGATTAATCACTTTACGCCAACAAAGTGTCTCAGCACTAATTACTGCCGGAAAAGCACTTTACACATCACCTTATAAAATGAATGAATGCGTACTGTAAGGGCAATTAGATTACGGCTTTTCGCTGGGTTGAAGTCAACGAACATACCGATCCAGCTATTCATGTTTGCATCAAGCAGTGATTTGCCGCATTTCTCTGATAAAAATCAAACTAAACATGATATCCAGGGTGACGCACACTGCGAAAAATAACTTGCGACAGCGGTAGTGTCTTGTAAAGTGTTATTGTTTGAATATCTGCTTTATCGCCTCGAGTACTGCGCACCGCCCCATTATCCAGTTCTCATTAGATTCAAGAGAAACTGACACATTTCCGGAGCAGGTGACCTCCCGTGTGATTACTCAGTTCGAGAAAGAGTGATTACCAAATGTTTTCACATTTGAACACTTCCATAGTCCCTAACTCTTCCAAAGCGACCTTTTTTAAAATGATTTACAATTATTCTTTTTGTTTCGAGCTAAAACTAAGTGTTATCTTTACCGTGAAAGACTGGCTCCAAAATACCCCTACATTTGACGCAGTGACTACGATAGCACAAGGTAAATTAGCAGCCTTTTAGGCGGAAAAAAATTGACACGTACGACTTACTATTATGGTAACTGAAGTGTTTTTTTTTCTAGTTGACGGTGAAATGTAGGTTAGGAGTCTTTTTCTTATCTTAAACTCATTCGTTTTCGTTTGTTTTGTTAAATTTTTTAAGGTCGACACCCAAAGTACTTTTATGTTTGATAAGTTTAGTGCACGGCATTATTCTTATTCAAATTCTCGACAGAAATATTTCCAACGTGATGACCTTTGTTTTGAACTACATATGATACTCAACAACAGCCTTTGAGAAGGTTACCGACTCAATAGCGTCTATTCTAAGTGGTCTCTGGTACGTTTTTCACACTATAAGATGCGCACGAGTTTCAGACCGGACCACGGCAGACTGAAAACCAGCGCCTATCGCACCTTCACGAGTACATCCTGAATGGGTAATTAAAAAAAGAAAAGAAGAAAGCTTAAATCTCAAGTACACCCCATTCAATGAATTCAGTCTTAGAATGAATGCATGAAACGTCTGAAGAGTTTACATTTCACGGTGAATTATGTAAGAATACAAAGGGTAGAAAATAGCCCAACGATGATATATTTATTTTCTTTATTGAGTTTTTGTGGCTTACTCACCTGTGGCTGTTAGTGATATTTATTATTTTACACTGATGTCTCAATTGAGCCCTTAGGATATGTTCAGGTTAGATTTGCTTCGTAATACTCTGAGTTTATTTTAGAAAACTACCTCACCCCACAACCCGGCAATCAGATGCAATACTACAACTGATATTTGTGACTTGCGTTTTCTTGCCATTCAAGTAGTTGACTTTTTTATTCATTGTAAGAGTTCTCGTTTATAGAGGCACGTTCTGCCTAATAAACTTCTTACCACACGACAGCCGCTCACAGCCTAAACATACGGTTTTGGCTTTCGCCTTACGGCCCCTATCAAGACATAGCCGCCTATTGCATGCATCAACGGCAGCCGCCGATGGAAAAAGTTATTACAATCCCTAACTTCCCTTTGTTCTTAGCTGTCGTATTAACTGTTGCTTGATCTTACGACACTTAATGAAGTGTGTTCAATGACATCATCACTTGTAAGTCACGGAGGTCACAGACCCTTCTTTTCTCCACCGTCTCAGACAGAAACAGACATTGTAAAGTTTCAGACTGGACGTAAGAGCACTTCTCAAGAAATTTTCATTTTTCTGCATAGTTGCACGCTAACTGGGTTATGTATAGTTCTGCATAGTTGCACGCTAACTGGGTTATGTAATTCTAGCCTAGGAAAGAATTTTCCTGTTGTAACTTAAAATTAGCGGGCTGAAAATGCTGAGTAGCTCTTTTTTGTCTTGCATCTTGAAAAATTAAGAATTTTTTTTAGCTTGCATCTGCAATTTGTCGTGGTCTTCTTCATTTCGAAACATATTTAATCATTCTTGTTTTATCAGTTGGCCTCCCATGTGTTTTATCAAATGTCGTGATCAAGCTCCTTAAGCAAGTAGGAACCACGGTATTTTTTTTCTGCTCTTAGGAGCGGCTTCCTTGACAGCTAAGAGAGTCTCTGCGGAGGCGTATAACGTCATAGTAACGAGGGAGAGTAAAAATCACTTTTACTCTTTAATTACTATGACGTTAGTAATGGCTGCTGTGTTTGTGTCTGTGTGTGTCTCTCTATCTCTTATTTTTATTACCACTACAGTATTCGGCAAAATTTCATCATGCATATCTTTAGAGACATTAAATTCGAAATTCATGATCATTGTTACATACTGACAAAAGACACAACAGCGTCAGTGCAGGTGACCGCATTCTTACCTCGCATGATCTTTGATATTGAGATATACTTCAATTCAAAGCTTTTGTGTGTGTTTCTTTTGTTGTTCAATTTTAGGCACTGTTGGTCAGTAGAAAGATTGTTCAAGATTTATGAATCAGTAGCTCAAGGTCAAGATGGTTTTTTTTGACTGGGTTGGTGTACAGTTGTAAGAGAAGAAGGATTATAAAAGCCAGGAGAAATCGGTTTATCTTAAGTGTAAGGATGTTCGCCTGAGTGATGTAAAACAAAGAACTCAAAGTTGTTGAAACCGCAATAGATCCCAGGAAAATACTTGAGGCAGAAAAAAAAAATAGTTTTCTACACCAAATCGGCGAAGCAGCAGTTAAGGTTGGGAGTTGTGTGACCGTTCACGACCTTTCGACTTGTGGTGCACATCGAGACTATATGAATCAAAGTAATGTATCCATTAGTCAGTGAATTCGACGCAATTGAAATTCTGTGCTCGATGAAGTTCAAAGAACTACAACGATGAAACTTGTCGTGTCCCACAGTATATTTGTGCACGATCCTCGCAGTGAAGAGCACTATTTAAGCAATAGTGAAAATCAGACCTGAAAAAATTCAGGCCTGTACGGGATTCGAACCACTGACCTCTGCGATACTAGTGCAGCGCTCTACCAATAGCCCATTTCCGAATTACCCTTAGCCTCTTTTTCAAAACGAGGCCTGGTGCTCAACCATTCTTGTGAAAATGAGTTTAATTTGCATGTGAATGAAAACTTTTTATCATATGAAAGGATGAGCACCAGGACTCGTTTTTAAAATGAGGCCAAGGGTAATTCGGAAATGGGCTATTGAGCTAACAAGCAAACTCGGAACAGGTCATCAACTTAGTCCGACATAAACCCGTACGATGATAAATCAAGCACAATGAATATGTGAAATTCATACATCTGAACTACATTTGTGCACGATCCTCGCAGTAAAGAGCACTATTTAAGCAATAGTGAAAATCAGACCTGAAAAAATTCAGGCCTGTACCGGGAACGACCTGTAGTTGAAGAGTTTGAGACTAACGTAACACAGGTTTGTACTGAGTTTCAAATATGATAAGTTTATGAATAAATCTCTCTGAATGTCAAACTGACTACTTCTTATCAGTTTGGATGTTAGCTCACATAAATTAAGTACAACCACAACTTTATTAAAGTGTTTTTGTGATCAAGTTAGACTGTGTTATATTGATGTGGAAATCGCAAGGTGGCACGATCAGGTGAAGAAGATTTAAGGATTAAGGAAGGAGACTGGGGAGAGACTTCGCGCGTGCCAAACTTTCGCGATTTACGCTATGTTAAACTTTAACCTTTTCGAAGCGTTTCCTCCTGGTTTTTAAACACAGTTTTTAAGCAGAAATTCGTCAAATAAGATAGGGCTTTTCTGCAGCTTTCTTAGACCTGTACAGCCGATATTTCCTAAGTTCTGCTCTTCTGAGTTCATTTAGTTGTTTCACGGGCCCGCTCGTTTTTCCACCTCTATTTGGCAAAAAAGGAGACAATTTTGTGTCCAATTATTCCCCCTTCTTCTTCGCAAATCGTAATTTAGTTTCATAAATGCAAGGCGAGTCGTAATAGAGATATCATGCGCTTGAATACTGTATTTTGTTTTCAAATCATTCAACATAAAAAACGCTGTTGAATGTTCTCCTGGGTAGAAACAGGGGAATTTGTTGGCGAGCTATTAGACAGTCTCGCATCGCTGTTGTCTAAAAAGGGTTTTTTGTTCTCAATTCTGGACCACCTAACAGGGAAAAGCTTCTTTTACGCCCACTTCAGACTGACAGCGAATTAACCATAATTGTTAGATTAACATCAATGAACCAGACAAAGTGCCTTATGAGTAAAAATAGCAACACCAATAAAACTTTCAAAACTAAGTAACTGCAGCGGAAATCATGCCATAAAATTGTTAGATGTAAAAATAATTGAGCTGTGCTCAGGTGCCAAAAATCATGGTTTATAGTTACATTAATGTAAACAAAAAAGTTGCTCGCCACTAGGTTTGAACTGATTTAAACCTGCTTTGGTCTGATACCCTTGAGGGGGAACATCTAACATCCCAACTTAAACTCCAAAGTGCTTGTTATCAATCATCTGTGGTTGCCCTATAACTAAGTTTATACTCCTGTGTGTAGAACAAAATTATAGGGAAGTTAACAATGACGCAAATTGTGTGGTCTACGGAACGACCAAGGACCATCTCGCAAATTGGCAATCGAGTAATTGCACGGAATTGGTGAACGAAATACGTCGAAATACGTTTCGTCTTGAGTTAAACGCATAAATGTAAAGTAGTTGATAGCATTAACACTGTTTCACTCTTGATCATACGATAAAAATTTTAGGTTTAGCCTTCTTTTATTTGTTCTGAATATTAAGAATACGTGACTGGGGAATTCAAACTGTTCCTAATTGAATGAAATTAGGAGATTTTTCAGGATAAGCCCTTGGTCTCATGGGGCGACTCGTGCTCAAAAAAATTAAACTTTAAAGCTCGAAATATCCAGAAGAAGTGGCGTACAAGGAGAGCTTTTTTTTTTTTTTTTATCTGATAAAGGTAGCAATTTGTTCCTCTCAGGTAACAGTTGTGTCACGATAACGTTAGTGAGTAGATTAATGAAATTATGGAAAACAATGGATATTTGTTGGCCTAAGCCTGTAGAATTCCTACTAATCCCTAGACTGATAAGAGAGATCAAAATCTCAGCTTAATACATTAAAGTTTAATATTTTCAAACTTGATATACCGTCCACTGAAAGAGGGATTTAGAAGCTTGAGACACATCTTCTCTGTCAGTAATGGTTCCACCTTTATTTCAGCTTAATTCAACGCAGCTCCTACCTAGCATGGTCTTTAGCTTTACAAAGGGTATAAAATTAAACCATTTCATTTTAAAGAAAGCTGTGTTTCGGTTTGTCATGTGCGCAGGTTAAAAGAGCAACTCTGAGTCCCTCCCAAGAAATCAACCACAGAGCCACATAGAACTTAACAGTGCGAAAAGCAGTTCATATTAGATAGGCATCCCGCTTACTGCTAAAATCAGCGATTTCAGAGGCAGTTTTGTGTATGATATCATTGGTGGCTCACTTCCTCTCAAAACCTTCTATATGGGCCCACCCCGGAATAAGGGCCACACAGTATGATGCACTGTCTGCCTAACACACATGTCTTTTCATTCCTTTCGTGAGGGACCATCAGTACACCAAGCCCTTATGACAACTACCCCAGTAAGTGAGCGACGTTTTCGAGCTCTTTCTTGAGGGCTTCACTCTCATAACCATTTTAGGATAAGACAAGATAAGTCTGTTATTTTGCCGTCTAATCTCCGGATAAGCTCCGGCTAAGACAGAAAAGAAAATAGATTACGAATTGCTAAGCTTAGGTTGGTTCTCTAGCTTAGACAGCTGACCGTAAGTAAAAAGCTCTTGACAGTAAATTTCCAACCCACGTTTTCAGACTACAATTTTTGAGAGTCAAGAACTTTTCAGATCTTTTTAATAAGATTACTTTCATCCTGTAATAAAATGTGTTTTCATTTAGATCGTAACTATTGTGGGATTCTTAGGTGTATTATTTTTTTTTAAGCTTTCCGGCGAGAAACATTTTTTGAATGTTTTCTCGAGGTTTAGACAACAGGTCTGGTAGCGTCTTAAGGAGAAACAAAACGTGGAATCTTATTAAGGTTTTCTGTCTTCTTGTTGATAATATTTTAAGATAAACATTTATTCATTTTTATCCATTTATTCCTCGAGTTGTTTACTCAGTATCGTACTTAAGCATTCATCTTATTTGATTGGTTTATGTATTTATCTTAGTATTTTATTGACAATCAGTGTGACACGATGAATATATACTGATTCTTGTCAATAAAGACGATCTTCAGTCGCTGGATCCAACCTTGAGATACAGGCACGGCAGTCATTTGAAAAAAATTTGAATCGGCTCAGTTGAACGAATGACTTCATAAATTAACAATTTTATGATAGCTAGTAAATTTGTGTCATCAATTTGAAATAGCTTATAGTGGTTTATATTTTCCTCGTGTACACTTGTGACTTATGTTTACCCATCGAGGCGTAACAGACAAAATTTTACTACAACATTCAATTAAACTAATTCGTTGAGACTTTCGAAAAACAACAGTTAGTTAATGGGTCAGCCGTTCTTTTATAAAGATATGAAGCACTTGGGAAATTAAAGGAGAACTAGAGAAGCTCAGGCCTGGAGCCCTCTATCCCTTCTTTCGTGCTCTTTGAACTTCCCGCGTGCTTTACATCTCGCGAAAGGCCCTCTGACGCATGGCACAATTGTTAATTTTCAACTGTCGTTGTTGCAGCTTGTCCCAGCAGCAGAGGTTCCCGCCAAACTAAGCCCCTTTGTATCCCGCTCTGTGACGTTATCTATTTTACTTTTAAACATACAGAGGAAATTATTTAATTTTTATCCGTCCGTAGATTTTGAAACTGGCCGGTACGGTTTCAGGATGACTCCTCATGATCACTTCCCTTATGACTTCTCTTAATTGAGTTATGGGCCACACTGACACAACTGGCCTGGGGCCCGTTTCTCGAAGGTCCCGGTAACTTAACGGACCTGTGAAGCTGTTATGTTTTCTTTTAAGATGGGGATTTCAAAAGTTTTGAAAATGACACAATAAAACTATCAGCTAAAGTAACAAAAAGGACTTATTTTGGGTGCCAGAACCTGCTTCCCCATCCTTTAAGTTTTGATTTTAAAACATGGCTTCGGGCCCGTTAAGTTACCGGGACTTTCGAGAAACGGGCCCCTGGCTTTTCATTGAAAAGTGCCTGTAGTATCGCAGTATGGTTGGGTGAAACAGAAAAGGCGTAATTTGGATCAGTATAAAAGTCTGGCCACAGACCTACATTTAAGCTTATACTGAAATCACTCGCCCTCGGCTCGTAATTTATAAGCTTCCTTCGTGTTCTCTCAACATCCCAAGAGACTTGATCACGTGTTATAGAGACAGGAAAAAAATGCGTTCTTTTTGCTTTTATGACATAACTAGTTACATGCGAGCTCTAATAACCCGATAAAGCATCCACCTTGAAACTGATTTGAACAATCAGACGATTCGTACTATATTAATTTATGTTATAAACTTGAACGTGACGTGGAGCGTCCCTCTCCGCTTGCTGTAAATTCTTTTGTTTGCCGTAGCTCACGCTTCTCCCGCTTACTAGAGCCTCATACTCCGGCTGATTAGCTCGTCAAGATTAATCACAGGATCAAGGTTTATGGATGTTATTTCTTTTATTCTAAATTACCATTCTGGGGCAGCAGACCCTCTTATTCACGGAGGAGCTTCCAACTTCCGAGTCCGCTTTCCAGCCACCGTGGTAGTTTTCGTATTCTTTCATGATAATTTTCATTTTCTAGAAGTTTCCTTGTCTTGGCCAAACGTGATCGCTGGAGTCACGTTAGACATCTTAGTGAATCATCACGTCATTTGCTTTCCGGTGAACTCTTCTATTCTAACACACCAGAATTGGTATCTTAAGGAAAAAATTAACCGAAAAAATTACAAACCTAAAGTGTTTTTAATGTCGCCAAAACTTGTGTCCGGCTGTACACAGTTGTGGTGAAGTCTATAGTATGATCGTTGCACTACGTGAAACAGAGAACTTATTTATTTCACAGTAGGTGGTTTATCCCTGAATTCATATGACATTCAGCGGACTCTAAAGAGATAAGAGACAGAGTTTCTACCACAGGAATTATTTGTCAGCAGTTGGCAAAGAGTTAATTTGGAGTCCAAAATATTTTTTCTACGGTACGTACAGCAATGTTTGGTCAGATTTTGATTTTAATTGCGCTGATTTTTGCTTTACGTTTATGAGCGAAGTAGGAGGTAAGTTTACAAAAATGGCAATTGGTAAGGAATGGAGAAGTTTAGTACTTTCACTCGTTTGTGCAGTGGTCAATATGGGACTATTTTCATTTGTTGTGAGTAGAAGCTTTTTACTTTTGTTCGGATCCATGTAAGGATCAGAGGATGATTTTTGACGATTGCGGCTCCACCAGTCTTTTTCTTTTCCTTTTTTTATAACTGAAGATTCAAGATAATAAGTTATCGCTTGAGTTGTCCGTTCGTCTAATTTGCCCATCCCCATTTCTTTATCGCTTGAATTAGGAAAACAGACCCTTTCCTTTTTTTATAACTGAAGATTCAAGATAATAAGTTATCGCTTAAGTTGTCCGTTCGTCTAATTTGCCCATCCCCATTTCTTTATCCCTTGAATTAGGAAAACGGACCCTTTCTTTCTTACTGCTCTGTATAAAAAAAGAAGAAGAAGAAAAAAAAAAACTGAAAGAAAGAAAACAAACCGATTAATTTTCGTTAATGACTCTTGGACTTTCTTTAACACACACAGCCACGCACGCCTGACATCTATTGCGGCCTGTTTACTTACCTCAGCTGACATCCATGAGACCTATGCGACCATCAAAGTATGCAATGCTCAGCTGATGGTCATGAAGAACAAAAACTCAAAGCTTGTAAAATTGAGACGGCCTTACCTATAAAGAGGAAGAAAACTAATCATCGATCGGTAATGAAATAATGCTACATAAAATGACTCAATCACACCCCTTCGATGTCATTCATTATCTAAATCACTCACTTGTAGCGTCTAAAAACGGTCATTAGTGTCAAAACTCGGTCACTAGCGTCTAAAATTGGACATTAGTGTCCAATATCGGACATTGGTGTCCAAAATCGGACAATAGTCTCGAAAATCGGTCAGCAGTGTCTAAAATCGACTTGTGGAAAGTTGACAGGAGTCCTGATATTTCTGTTGTTTTGAATTTAAAGATGCTACAGTGAGTGTGAATAATGTAGTAGACAAAGAATGTCTGTTGTTTGTTGATATTAAATAATGGTATTATTTCATTTTACCTCCTTGTGTTTATTTGTTCAGAACTGTGACCCTTTCTTCACTTTCAGAATTTCGAGAAGCTAGCATGCCTAGGAACGGGGCGCTTGTTCTCATTTCTTTATTTTTCCTACTTCTTCTCGACGTCGAAGGCCTCTGTCCTCTGTCCACGCAATGTTTTGGAAACGGTGACTACAACGCGAAAACACAGAGCTGTAAATGCTACTCTCGACGGAGAATCGGAAGTTTCACGGGAGAGTGTTGCGAAAGCGTCGATTGCAAGCCTAACGCGACCTGTCTACACGGTTTCTGCGGAGTTGATGGTTTGAAATGCGAGCGTTGCCTGACCGGGTGGACTGGACCCAATTGCGAGAAAGTAGACTCCTGTTTTCCTTGGTTTCACTGTGTGCATGGGTCTTGCAATAAATCCCGAATGAAGTGCGAATGTGAACCTGGCTGGGTGGGTGACCAGTGTGATCGCTCCTTGTGTGCAGTGAACTGTATTTATGGCGCATGCCCAAACGATCCCAAGAAGTGCGAGTGCTATGAGAACTATCATAGTCCCGAAACTGGATGTGACAGGTATTATTTATAAGAAATTGATACGCTTTGAAGACTAATGATGTGGGTTATGTATTAGAATACAATAATTTTTTTTTAGGTAATTGTTTTTTTTTTAAAAGTTACAGTGTTCAGTTGAAATCAGGAGAGCTGACTGTTATTGACTTCGGTGACGGGAAATAAGGATGCTACTCTCATAATGACAGAATAGTTTTTTTACAAACAAAAAGCTAATTCAAACTATCACAGCATGAGATAGTAACGACCCAATCACCAAAGCAGCAGCAGTTTACTATTTGGAAACTAAATAAGTGTCCAGAGCCAATCTTTCAGTCAATCAATCAGTCATTCAGTATAACATTTTGGAGCTACATATAAAACTGAGAAAAACTTGACAGCAGTTTAGTATTGAGGCCTATACCTTGATTTTCTCTTCTGTTTCTTCAATTTTTTTTTTTTTTTACCATAGACAGAATAGGATGAGACATGCGTTTTTTTTTTTTGTGTGTGTTCATAGGTCTTTCTGTGCGAAGGACTGGGACTGTAAGAATGGAGGATATTGTATCGACCTTCACCATTGTGTTTGTCCGCCTCATTATACAGGTCAGACAATCGCTTATGATTACCCTAAGCGGGGAAATGCTTTAGTGTTTGGAAAAAGAAACTTTGGGATTAACCTTCAATAAAATCAATTCAGTTTTTTTTTTACCAAGAACCATTCCTATGGTTCCATCACTGTGACTCCCCGCATACTAACTTTTCTGTATTGTGGCTGACTACAATAGACGTTATGTTTGGTTTGAAACCATTTCACTTGAATATAAGCAGAATGTAAGTGCAACAGGTTTCGCTGGATGAAAACAAAAGCCCTAGCGTTATCATTTTCTTTCAACTGTCGCGTTGAAACTTTTAAGAGAGGCTATTCTGCATAACTCTTTTACTCTTTAAATAAGTCTACATGTGGCTCGTAGACGCGACGTGAATCTCGATCAATACTGAGAAACGACGGGAAATATCACATCTCCAGAAGAGGGAGGCACACTCTATAATTAATAACAGAGTTTATTTTAAAACAAACAGACGGTTGGAGGGGAGTGAAACGAAATGACACCAAATGGTGTTGATGTGAACTGGCATACATTAACATGCTCACCAAAGATAATTTTAACTGAGC